ATTCTAAATACTCTCCTCAGATGTGCCTGTCCAAAAGTAGCCATCAAAACAAAATGACCTACCCTGCCTGCCCTCCCCACAACCGCCTTGGAGACTTTGGAGGTCTTGGTTACCCACTCTGTCTCCCAACAAGGAAGAAAGGTCCTGGACTCCAGTACCCTTCAGTTTCATCCTCTTTCTGGTTTCCTCCTGTCCACTGGCTAAAGATAGCCCTCAGTCAGGACAGTCATATGGTAGGGTTCCGTAATTCCCTGATGAATAAATTAGAAGGAGGGAACACAGGATCTTGCCAACTGATCTAAGCCAAGTTTGGCCATTTGGTGATGGCATGTTCTCTTGATGAATTTGGAAGATCATGTGTCTTCATTTCCACAACCTCACTAACTGATGGTTGATAGTATTGAAAGGAGGCACTGTACCAAATGCTGCCCCCMAAAAATATTGCATTTATTAGCTAGAGGGCACAAAAACAGCCATGCAACCCGTTCTTATAGTTTGGGGCTGAGGAATTCTATTTTGCCCTCTAGTAAAAGGGTCACTTAGAGACTGATGCAGTCAATATTCTAATGGAAAGCCCAGCCCCCATGACTAGGCAAGGTGAAAGAACTCACACTGGTCAGAAGATTCCAGACCTCCAGTACAATTCTAGAGATGTTAGGTGAATGACTTGCAAGGGCCATGGTTCAATCTTCCTAACCATCTGTTTAGGCCATCTCTGGAGTGTTGACTCCAGTAAACTTCATGAACTAGCAACCACCTGAAGGGTGCAGGTGAAAGTTTATGCTGTTTATACTCAAGTATTTCTATTTATTTATTTATTTATTTATTTATTTATTGGTACCAGGGATTGAACCCAGAGGTACTTACCCACATTCCCTAGCCTTTTTTTTTTTTTTTTTTTTTTTGAGACAAGTTCTCATTGCTTAGGGACTTGTTAAGTTGCTGGGCTGACTTTGAACTCATGATCCTCCTGCCCCAGCCTCTTAAGCCACTGAGATTACAGGCTTGCACCACCATGCCCTGTTGAAGTCTTTTTAAAGTAAAGCAACACACAGTCACAACACCACGCATACAGAAAGCTAAATGGAGAAGAAAGAACCAGGAACTTAGCCAAGGTCTTCTTGAACAGGTCTACTCTAGTATCAACCTCTTCACAACTAACAGCAAAAGGAGGGTCAAAATCCCTTCACACATTCTCTAAATTTAAAAAGAGAAACTTGATTTAAAATTTGTCTCCATTTTTCCTGCAATCCCCAGTATTGCAATTTTTGTCAGCCCCACCAGAGAGCAACCTTTCTGCATTTATACTCATACTTGGCAAGCAATTATCTCACCTCAGCATATATGCCTGACTCCAAGTCTAAGCAGAATCAACTGTCAAGGTTTCCATAACCCAAAGGAATTCTCCATATTCCATGAAAGTATCCCCTTTGAAAAGTGAGAGGTGTCTCACAGGAGAAAGGCTCTAGGATCTAGAGTGGGGGGCATCCTTTGACCTCTGCTATGAAGGGGGTTCTCTCTCTCCTTTCCCCGTCCACATCATGCAACAACTGTCAATCTAAGGTGACTCCAGTGAGGTTCTTGGAAGACAAAACATTCACTAGTTTGAAAGAACTACCAGAARTGGCCTCTGACTCCAAGATCTTGTCCTGATGCCACCTTGGGAGAGCTGAATGTCGGCTTTATATTAATGCAGTTGAAGGGCACAACCAAGGCACCTGAACCACGTTAAGATGGGGAGCCTGAGAATTTCCCAGGATGTTTTATGGGTACAGAGACCACCTGGGATCAGTAGGCTGTGAGCACTGGCATATCAGATTAATGAAAGATACCCACACCCTCCACATTAAGTGCCTTTACACATTCTGAACTACTAGGCCAGTGCTTCAGGGGCTGATAACAGGCACATTATAGAGGAATAAGAAACAAATGTTTTCCCCATTAATGCTAAAGATTTCTGCTCCTCTCTTTCTGGGCCTCGGTAATCACTTCTCTGTGCACCCTCCATTCCAGCCAGATCAAGTTCTGTTTGTTTTTCTTTTTTCTTTTTGTACTGGGTGTTGAACTCARGGGCACTTAACCACTGAGCCACATCCCCATCCCTACTTTGTATTTTATTAAGAGACAGGGTCTCACTGAGTTGCTTAGGGCCTTGCTAACTTGCTGAGGCTGGCTTGGAACTTGAGATCCTCCTGCCTCAGCCTCCTGAACCACTGGATTACAGGCATGTATCACTATGCCTGGCTCTGTTTGCTCTTCCACAACCCTGCTAGTCTATAAAATCTGTGTACAGATCACCATCTCATCTCCATGATCTGTCACAGAACCTATGCTCCATGTTTACAGATAGTAAGATGGTGCAGTTCTATGGACACATCTTCTTCTGCAGCAGTGTGCTTTGCACAGCCTCGATCCTAYTTCCCTCTCTAATTAAACAGTGTCAATTCAGGGACTAAGGTCTCCCAGGTTCATCTTAGAAATATACACAAAGGGCTGGGGTTGTGGCTCAGCGGTAGAGCGCTCGCCTCGCACATGCAAGACCCTGGGTTTGATCCTCAGCACCACGTATAAAAATAAACAAGTGAAATAAAGGTGATGTGTCCAACTACAACTAAAAAATAAATTTTTTAAAAAAGAAATATACACAGAATCACAATATTTGTTTTTTTCCTTATCTGAAGCTGGTCTGTGAAAGCCTCTGAGTGTTAAAAATTATATTCTAAATTCATATATTTATTTTTTAAACCATTAAATAAATCTAATAGTAATTGTGTAAAGCACTATTAAAGGCACTATTAGGGCAATTGATATGTGTACAAAATAAAAATACTTCCATTTAAATATATGGGTCATACATAGGTATATATGTATTTATAATGTAGCTGGAGAAAAGGAAAAGAATACATCACATCACTCATACGTAAAAATTCTTTATTATTGGGGAGTAGAGAGAGACATTATATTTTTAATGTAGGATGCTACAGAAACAATATTCAATCTACAGAATCTACAATCAATGACCATTGGGACTGGTGTAGTTTCTTTACAGTTTCCACATCAGGCTGGGGTAGAAGAGTTGAGGAGGGTGTCAAAGCACAAGAAAGTTACAAGGATGGGGAAGAGAAAGGGAAACAGGAGAACGTGCACCTGGCATCATGATAGGGGACAGTGTCTTCATGATGCAGCCCAGGGGTCCAAAAGTGGAGTGCTAAGGACAAAAAAAACCAAAAACAAAAATCACATCCATGTCCTGTGAAACTCCCACCGACCACCTGCTGGGGAAGCAGGAGACAGGGAAGGGGCATTTATAAAGGACTTACACCTCAGTTTCACTGCAACCTTTGGACAGAAAGACTGGACCTCTTAATATCAGGTGCCTGCCCCTTCCCTGCTGCCTATCCAAGGTACCAGGTGCTAGTGCTTCCCCTGCCTTATTTAGTCCTTCCTTTTCCCAGAAACATCCCAGAGAAAGGATGGGCACACAGATCACTTCCTTTTCCAGCAGTTTCATGTGAATGAAGAAGRTGATACAATGATCTGTGTTGATCCATCTCATCTAATCTCCAGCCTTCAGGGACCTTCCGTCCTATTCTGCCTGGCACCTAACAGGTTGAGAATGCTTCATCAGTGCTGAGATTATGAAGGCTGCAATTATGGGCCTGGTCCCTCTGAAAGAGCCTGGATTCACCAGCAAACATTAAAAGTAGATTTCCACAATGCACTTGTTTTTGCCATTTGTATAAAATACTATGGCAAAATTGCACTGTAATTATCTTTATGGCCGGTGCATAACGCCAGAGGAGAGTATGTCATCCAGATATAGCTGCCCATATAATTATCTGGCCGACGGCAGGACTGAAATAACCATCTAATGAGAGCAAAATGATACGGTAAGCACCATGTAATCAGCGAGTTACAGTTATTACAGCTCTTTGTGCCCTCTCACCCAATAGTAAATGGGGGGCCAGACCCAGTCTCTGGTCCAGGGAGTCATGCACAGGCAGTATCATCACCAGCCAGCCCCTTGGGTCTCTGGCTGGCCACCTTGAGACCGGCAAGTGTGGRTTCTAGGGGCACAGAGAGAGAGGCAGGGGGCTCCCTGTGATTACTGGGGCTCATGCATCCTTCTCCTCTCCTCTTCTCACCGTCTTTTTATGGAAGTTAGTGAAAAGAAAGCCATTAGTTGTGCGCTATTGCTGGGGTGTGGGGAGACGGTGTCAAGGCATTAGGTTCTGAGATTTGACTAGACAGTTTCCCTGGGGGCTTACACTCACAGACAAGTGAGGAATCTGCCAGCCAACTCAGGCCTGAGGTCCATCCCAGACAGCTCTCGCAGGCAGTTCAGAGCCAGTCACGAGAAACACTACGACATCCTCCCACCTCCCAGGTCCAAAGAGCCATGATACAGCTAACAYAGCATTGGGCACCAGGCACCAGGCACTGTTCTAAAAATCCTCTCTTTACTCCATCCCCAAGACCACAACGCTGGGAGGTACCACCATTGCCCTCATTTTTCAGATGAGTAAACTGAGGCACAGAGGATTAGGTAACTTGGCCATGGAGTCACAGTTAGAAAATGGCAGATCCAGGATTCAAAGTTAGGTCATGTTCTAATCCCTACATGGCACATAGAGGCTAAGATGTGGTTTCCAGCTACTCCTGTTAGACTTTAGAGTCCCTTGCATCTCTTCCTAAATCATCCTGTGTCTGACTAGCTCTATGCYTATTTCCTGAGTCTTTGAACCAAAAGATTCAGCCTGCCCAGGAGGCAAATGCTTCAAATGTGAATTGGACACCATATCTATAGTAATCAGATGATGACCTCTCCATCATAAGAAAACAGGGTCCAAACAACAGAAACTGCCTGTTAGGCTTCTTTTAGGGCAAATTAATGAGCATTAATGTCTTTAGCATCCAAGGAAATGTACAACTGGCAACCCCTCCCCCAACACACACAATCACACCAGTCCCCTCTCCACTCTCCACCAACGGTCCTTACTTTATTCTGCACTGGGGGGATACTTGAGGGTGCCAAAGCTGGGGATGTTCTCTGGATTCAAATCAGTAGGATTATCTGGATGAAGTAAACAGTGTAATTAGAATAATTAGAAAAGATTTTTCTTTTTTCTTTCTTCTTTCCCTCCAGTACTAGGGACTGAACCCAGGGTTTCATGCAGGACAGGAGGGATTTTTCTGAATGTGTCCTTTACCCTGACCCAACACCCTAGCTAGAAAGGAGAGTGTTGGAAGAGAGTTGGGAGAGTGGGGAGGCAACAGAGCCTCATTCCTAGCAGTAGCAGGACTATCTTAGAAAAGGCCCCCACTCACTGCAACCAAAAAAAAAAAATCTTACTTTTCCTCTGGTGACAAATAGGCACTTAATTTCTGTCATGTCCTTACCAGTTCTCCAAATTCTTCTACTATACCTCCACACACTCCTACCTGGCTGGCTGTTTCTCTTGCCCATAAGTCCAACAAAGAAATCATGCATGTCACCTGCAGAAAAAAGCCAAAATTGTCAACAGAAGGAGTGATGCTTTCCCCATACATGTGTCAGGACTTCTGAGGTTGGGTTTCTAGTCTGTTTCTTTATACTGACCCTTCACAGCTAACCAACATATCCTTTATGACCACCTTTCCCTCCTCCACATTTCAAGGACTCTCTGTCCCAGCAGGTGCCTGTTTAGCATCTTCATAGGCCCCAAGAGATCCTTTGGTTCCTAATGTCCAGCCAGTGAAGCAGGACACCACCCCACCCCACCCCCTGGGCCCTGGCCTTCACACCTGCTGAGGAAGTACGTATGAGTGGGAGAGACAACTCCTAAAACTGTCCTCCTAGCTCCCTAGTTGTCTTTCCAGTTATACAAAGCTGGCTCATCAGTTGTAGCTGACATAGTGTCTGCACCAGCTGAGATGGGGCTGGCCAAAATGGCCCCTAGGCCCCTGCCCATGGAGCTCTGAGTAAGTGACCAGGGAAGCAGAGCCTCCTTGTGTCTCCCTCCCAGCAGCAGCAAGATTACCTTAGAGTCCATGTCATAGGTATTTGGAGGACGAAGAGGCTACTCACGTTTTTGGGGAAGTGATGATTCCTTAGGATCTGAGAAACCAAGAAAATGTGCATAAATGGGGAGCAGACCAAGAAAGTAATGATGAAGGGGGATTGGCATCACAACCCTTACAGATTCACTAAGCTATGCTCTGTCTCCCACCCTCTCAACCCACCTAAATGGGTCTCCCAGGCCTATCTCATCTTCAGAGTCATTCCTCTCACACCCTCTCCCCCGGGGACTGCTTCCTACCCACGCTAGCCTTGCTCAGCACTTTGAGCAATCCTTCCAGGGAGACAGGGCGGCTGTCAAAGAGTCTCCGCAGCAACGATGGGGGCAGCTGGTAAAGATCCGAGTCCTTTAAGGAAGAGAAAAGGAGGGCTGAAGGAGAAGGCTCATACCCTGTCCACACACTCTTCCCATACAAAGCAGCCTGAACCCATTACAGCTGAATTCCAATACATCTTTTATTCAGGATTTCCTCTGGTTTACACTGGAAGAGAAGCAGGTGCTCAGAGTATAATGTATGGACCAACAGCAGCACCAGCACAGAGGGGAGTTTGTTAGAAAGGCAGAATCTCCATCTTTTGCCAGACCTGCTGAAGCAGAATCTGCATTTGAACCTGACTGAGGTGATTCATATCTACCGTGAGGTTTGAGAAACCCTAATGAAGCATCCCTGTAGGCTGGTCAACTGTCCTGTTTGCCTAGGACTAAGGACTTCCAGACATGAAGGACATTCTCTGCTCAAAATGGGTCAGTTGATCACACTAACTCCCAAGCTCGAGGACTGTCCTCTGGGGCCCCATTCCAATCCTGCAATCTCTCAGTGACAAAGGCCATAGGTTCTTTTCTCCCTGGCATATCAGGAACCAGTGTGCCCAGGGATGTGTTTGTTCTACCAAGAGAGAGCCATGAATGCCCCCATTCCCAAGAAAGCACCATCAGACAAAGCAGGTGTCCTCTGGTCTATACTCCATGAATGAGTCACAGACAAGACTCAGTCCTGAGGTGGGGTGGCAATAGATAGCCAGGGCACACCAGCTAACCTGAGATCCCCACGTTCTGGGCTATGTCCATGGACGTTCCCCTCTCTGCTTCTTTATGGGAGGGAATTCTCTCATTCTCCCCTTCTCCATGTCTTTTTGCCTCTGGTTTTTGCTCCCTCTCTCCTTTCTGTCCTGGATCTGTAATTTCAGGAAGGCCACATGCTCGGAATGATATCCCTTCCTCTTCCTCACAAACAGAACCCAGATTCTGGAACTGCTGCCCAGCAGGGGCTCTTATGATTTTTTTTCTAGCAACTTGGGCACAGCAGGGTAGTGGGTACATGCCATACACCCAGTTAATTGCAGTTGCAAAGACGATGATTGTGTTTGGAGATTTTCACCTTCAAACTCAGCAGAACCTCTCTCCAGAGCCCAGGCATCCTTAGGCTGCTATGCACACACAGCAGTGCATTTACCCAAGTACATACCAACCTAGTTGCCTGGGCACTCTAAGGRCACACATATATTCTACCCTCTTCCTGCCTCAATTTCCCCATCTTCACAACCTGTGGGGAGAAGAGGCTAGAGGGCATTCGTCTTTCATTTGCCAGGAAGAGCAGAAGGGACATCTTATTACCCAAAATCCAGCAGCAGGTTTGTCTCTTAATAACCCAGACACTCTGACTACCCCAGACGGGAACTTTGGGGCACCAAACACAGGGTCCAGCCCATATCTGGCACTCCTGGGTGATTCTGAATGGGTTCAGGGCTTTTGGATCTGGCGCAGCTGCTGCCACCTGCAAGGCTGCCCTGCAATCTCTTTTTGTCTCTCTTCTTGGCCCAGCAGACACTTTCCCCAAATTGTTCAAATACTCTGCTGCCCAGCTCTTGTAATGAGATGTTAAACAGATTGGAGCTGGAGAGGCKGTTAGACTTTGCACACTGAATTTGTAATAAACTCCACCCATAATCATCTTAAAAGCATTTGTACCAGTGTAATTGCTGTCATTTCAAAACCTTCTAAAGACTTCTTCCCTGCACTCTCCCTGCACCGTAACCCTGGCAGTTCCTTTTTTTTTTTCCCTTAGAGGAACTTTAGAAATCAGGGCTCATTCTGACTTTTGGGGTTCTATTTTGTTCTGTTTGTTTTTGTTTTGTTATCCCATTTAAGCAGAGGCTAGAGGCAGCAAAGGTAGAGGAGGGCAGGAGACGGATTGAGATTTTACAAGTACCCAAGATTACAAGAGGTGGATAAGTGGAGGAAAAGACAATTTATTTTCATTTTAAAAATAAGATAATACATATAACTGATAGGTGAAATAGTATGCAAATGATCATTTGGGAGAGACATTCTGCATTTCCTACTATCCAGGGAGTAAATGAGATCTGCCCTTGCCAAGAATAGAATCTGAGCCAGACCCTACAGAACCTTAGACCATCTTAGCTCACCTCTCACAGGACTATCAAATCACCAAGCCTCCTGACAATCAACCAACATATTTGTTGGACACATTTTATGCACAAAGACATGCAGAGACAAAGATACTTAAGGACCTGAGACAATGGGAACGTGAGAGGATCAGAGAGGCAGAAACCCAAAAGAAGACAAAACACCCTAGGACAGAGAACCCACGTAACTCCCAACCCTGCCCTCCTCCCTTCTTCCCTACTCCAKACAGGCAGAACCCCAGGTGTCCATGATGTTCCCAGGACTCTGCCATGGCTGCCTTACCTTGCTGTGGCTCCCGCCAGGCACCACCTGTTCCTGTGACTCTTCACAGACAGCCCCAAAGGTCTGAGCCAGACCAAGGGCCAGGATGACTGCGAACAGCAGGGCACTCCTCATGGTGATTTAGAGGGCAAAGAGAGGCCCTGGGCAAGGCAGGAAGGGGAAGAAGATACAGCTCCATGAAAACACAAGAGGCATTTGTGACCAGCAGCTGGGCTCAACCTGCTTTCCCAGCCGCCAGTTCTCCCATCCTAGTCGTAGTCAGAAAAGAATAAAACACATCTCTGAGCCAGGGGTTCATCCTTTGGGCTCAGTTTTCCTGCTCCCTCATTAGACATCACCCCAGGATGTGCCCTTGGCAATGAGCAGTGGTAAATGCTGTCGGCCTCTAGCTCCCAACAAAGATGATGATTTATACGACATAAACTAGTCTGTTTCCTTAATCAGTTTAAAAAGAGGTGCTGAAGGCTATTTTTCAGGACTAGATAACCCCAAGACTTATGCAAAAACTTTCTGCTGTGGAATAATCAGTCTGTTAAAGCTCCAAATATTAGCAGCTCGCTACCCTACGGACACTTTCTGCTCACTACTCTGCTCACCTATCAGAATGCTATCTCCTTTATTCCCTCCTGACTCTGGCCCCTGACCCTTGGTGCCAGCTTCAGACTATCCAACACTCTTCCCCTTGTGCCTACCTGTGGGGCAGCTCTGAGCCTGGTGCTGGGGGGGACTGGCAGATCAGGGAGTTGATCAGTGGAGACTCCCCACTCCCCACAAGCTGGTGCTGCCGGTGCTGCTGATGCTGAGGCAAAGAGAGAAATGGTGGCAGGATCTGGAAGGTTGCAGGAACTCAGTCCCAGCTCCCCGATTAAGGCTCTGGGAGGGTCTGGGGGAGCCAAGGGGAGGGGCTGAGAGTCACCAATCCCAGGGTGGCTGGAGGGGAGGGGGGAAGATAGTGGGGGTGGGAGGACGCAGACTGCAGCCACATACCCAGACACACACACACACACACACACACACACACACACACACACACACACACACACACACCAGATCTGGCAGTAAGCTGGAGCTGTCCAGCAGCCCACTTTCCAATGGCACAGAAGGTGGGCATTCTAAGGAATGTTGTTGTGTATGATTTGTCATAAAATCACCATACCAGGTCTAGCTCAATAGGTGTGGACCCTGGACCCCTTTCCTCCATGTTCACCCCCTAGCTCCTTGCCCTTTAAGCCTTCAAGCTTGACAGCCAGGCTGGAACAGCACAGCAAGTGCCTCTCTGTCCCTGTCACATCAGGATCACCAGGTGCAGGCCCCCTACCTGAGGATTGRGGGTGAGTCTGGCATCCCCTCCCATCTGCATTCTCTCTGTCCTCCTCCKAGGGGAGACTGCCCCATCACATTAGTCCTCACCCCAGTGAGTACCAATGCTTCTCTCCTGTTGCTGAGTGCAGAGAGCCCTGTCTGCCTCCCTCCCCTCTCCTTCCTGACCCTGAAATAGTCAGACTTAGCTACGTCTTTTACAGTTCTACCTTCTATCCCCCAGGGAGGAGGTATGAACACTCCACTGAATGGTCCCCCATCCCTCTCCCACTCCACTGTGCTCCAGCATTGATCTCATTGCTTCCCTTTTCCTTCAAAGTTACATTTTTCCCTGCCCTAATCTGCCTCCCTGCCGCTTGAGCATCTTCTCCTCTGACCTTTCAACCCTCTRTTCACACCCCACACCCATGAAGGGATTTATCTGCCTATTGCCACCCAAGGGAGAAAGTCCCAGAGGAGAGGCAGAGTCAGGTCAGGAACAGAGTCCAGACTCAGAGCAAGAAGTTGTTTCCCAAGAGATGGGGGAGATCTGTAGTGAAAGCCAGCTTCCAAGCAAGGCGTTAACCTTAGTATTCTCCCTAGCACAGGGTTTCAGCATTCACAAAGTACTCTGGCATGGAGCAATCATTTGGTTTTCAGCAACTCCATCATGGAAGTAGGTAAGAAAGATGTCTATTTTTTCAGATGAAGAAACTGAGGCTCAAGAGGTTAGGTCATTCACTCCCATACACACAGCTACCAGTTGGTACAGAACAACCACGAATTCAGGTTCTTCTCACTTCATCTCTTCCACTCTTTTTACTGCATTGTCATGAACATTGACCTGTGAGAGAACACTTGGCACTCCCAAAGGGGCAGATGGCCCACCTCTCTGAGACTTTGAAATATGGGACCATTTACTTTTCTACATCTTGGGATGAGAACAGTATCTCTATCTCACATTTACCTCAAAGACTCCTTTTAACAAGGTCTTCCTTAATCATCCTATTTAAGTAATTACCACCCCAATATTCCCTACATCTCCCTCCTGTTTTTATTTCTTCATGCACATTCATTACATCCATTATGCTAATTACTTATTATTGTCTCTTTACCACACACTACTTTCACTAGAATATAAGCATCACAAGGTCAAGAAGTTTTGTCTGTTTTTTTTTAATATTCTTTTTTTAGTTGTAGTTGGACACAATACATTTATTTGTTTATTATTATTATTTATTTATTTTTATGTAGTACTGAGGATTGATCCCAGCACCTTCACGTGCTAGGCAAGTGTTCTTCCGCTGAGCCACAACTCCARCCCACTTTTGTCTGTTTTGTTTGCTATTATATCCTATAGTATTTGGCATACAATAGGTGCTCAATAAAATGAAAAGGGAAGCCAGAGTCAACTCAGCCCAAATCATGGATCCTTCATGGAGTCTCTCAAGTGTTGATGGGATCCTGAAATCCTTACTCACCACTCTACCCACTCTAGGATTTGGGCTATATTGACAAAAGTTACCCTGGCTGCACATGGCCTCATGTTCACCCTGATTGAGGGCAGCAGCTGGGTACCAAGTCCTCTTTATTATGTGAGAGGCTAATGGGGCCTGATTGAAAGCTTCTCATTACCCAGCTAATTGCAGGGGTGTGTGGGMAAAGAACATGGGCCAGAACCCAGGGCTGGAAGCATTTAGTGGGATGAAGAACAGAAGTGGGTGGCAGTTTACATACAAATGGCATGACTGGTTTATTCTTTTGAGAAGCCCAGGTGCTCTTCCTAATTGACCCGTCATCTCTCTGCCTCCTCTCCCATCAGTCTGGAGTTAGAAACCCAATCTAGGCAGGTGGAGGGAGCTGGGTGTGCAGAAGGAGGTGTTGGACCAATAGCCTCCTGGGCCCCATCTCTGTATCGACCCCTCCCCAACTATCCCGTGTGTCCCTGCCCCCAAGCCCTGGCACCAGGGAAGCAGGGCTTCAGCAAAGGTCCACCATGAATAATGTCCTTTGATGATGCAGCATCTCACAGAGGATAGTGAGAGCCAAGGCTGTGGGGAGCAAAGGRATGGCAGGGAAAGCTGATCACCCTTGATCTCTGGGATTAGCTAAGACTTGAAAGAGCTGATGTTAACCTAAGTTAGAAAGGTGATGAAGGAGGGAGGCATTGGAGAACTGTAGCAGGCAGCTTCGTTTTGCCCATGAATCATATGCAAATGACATGTAAATTGCCTATTGCAGCTATAGAGCATCTAGGTATTTTTTCTTTGAATATCTACGTGAGCCACATCTCAGATGCTGTCACCAACCTAGAGTAGATGGTACTTGGAGTCCAGGCTCCCTAGCAGCAGATCCCACCTCACCCCCCAACAGATCCCCCTCATTATTGAGGGCAAGGCAAGGAAAAGGTGTGTACAGATGTGCTGAGACAGGTTTGTCAGTCTTTCTCTAGGGATTAGAGGTGGAGGTAGACCTTGTGCACACATGAAGACCTGCACCTGTCCTCCACCACATGCTCCACTTGTGGACTTCCTCTACATCCTGGAGAGGTGCTGGGTGTGAGGGTAGGGCTAGGGCCATATGAGACACTGGTTGGAGATACCAGGGAAGAATGGAAAATCAGCAGCATCTGTGACCTTCCATGCCTGCAGCCAGGAGACAGCTGGAGACAACCCACAGAGCAGGTTGATCAGGAAGATCCCCTTAGGGCCTCTTAGAGCCTGTGAAGAAAATTAGCAGAGCCAGAGAAAGAAAATCAGGACTGTGCCAGAGCTGGTTTAAGCTGTGATATGTTAGAATGGCTYCTCATGGTGGTCAGGGGAACCCAGAATGGCTGTGGCTCTCAGAAGATGGAACAGTCTAGATTTTGAGAATGCTGAGCAGATAGTGGGGAGGGTTGGGAGAGAAGGCTGATGCAGAACCCTTGCTTCTTCATGATGAGAAAGCCAATTCCAAACCCTGTAACACAGGTGGGGAAAACTGAGACCTGTAGTTTTCAGATTCCTGGGCTTCAGAAGCAAAGAAAAGCAACACCAGGAAAGAGAAAAATGGAGAGAAGGAAGAATAAAGGAGAAGAGGAGCCCCATCCATCCTTGAACCATCATCTACGCACATGACTGACACAGGTAGGCCAGAGATCTATTCCTCCCCCTACACCCACCCCCTCCTTCCCTGGTCAGAGAGCTGACAGTTCCCTCAGCCCTGGGAAAAGAAAAGCAGGATAGGGAGCAGCAGCTGCATTTTCTCCTGAAATTGCTTCTGAAAATGACCAGACACTTCACTGGGAAAGTGACGACAATTTGGGCCCTGGGAGCAGGAGATGAGGCAGAGAGCGGGGGCGATCAAGATCAGGTCATCACCCCCCACACCTCCCACCCCCTGCTCAGCCAGACAGGATTTCTTGAGCCTGATTCTGAGAAGTCAAGGATGGGGGAGTCATCGGGTAGAGGAAGGCTGGCCAGAGCTGGAGCTGCCCCTCATCTAGATATAGCCCCCACAATCTGGGCCCAGCCCCTCCCCCAYCTGGGAAGAACTGACACCCTGGGTCCCATCTCAGCTCAGAGCAGGATGTGCAGAAGCATGGGGCTCCAGCTCAGAAAACAAGATTAATCTGCAGGCAGGAAGAGAAGTTAATCAGGTCTCCCCGACAGCATGATTACCTGGAGCCGTGAGCTGCCTGCTGATGGGAGCCAGGTGAGGCAGACCCCAGCCTCAAGGCACAGCAAGCTCAGAGCTTAGCGGAGGAGGCAAGGAAGAGATAGGGAAGGTGGAGGTTATGGAAGGAGGAAGAGACTTCCAGAGACAGTAATAAAGGC